CAGAGACTGCAGTTTTGTGCCAGGTGCGGGCGATGTGCCAGAGCCTCTAGGAGCCGGGGGGGGGGGGCGTCTTTAAAGGAAGGTTTGGCTTAGAGGCCATTGCAGGTTTCTTCTTCAACCAATTAATAAAACTCTGCTGGCCAATTATACAGCTGTGAAGTGAAGTGATAAATCACTTCACTTTCCTTTGAAGTTTTAAAACTCCGTAGAAATTCAAAACATAAACAGTGTTACGAAGCAGCTCAGCGAGCTCCGCACCATTTTAACTGTCTCTTTAATAGTTAAGTTATCGGAAGAAGTTCTTGTAAAAATGAAGCTAAGATTTAAACAAACAAATTAAGGGCTCACGTGTACCAGTCCTGCTCGCCTTGGACTCAATAAATCAGGTTTTGTTCTGAGGAAGAGAGAGTTTGCTTCGCACTGCAATCACAGCTGGAATTCCCGGCATGGAGACAATTCTGTCCTCAGCTGGCCTTCCCCCACTCCCAGACACAAACTGTGAGGGTCGGATGGCACTTTGCTCAGCAAAACGGCTCATCTTCTTTGCCTGAAGAATAAGGTAAACAAACTGCCAGACGTCTGATGGATTGATCATCCGACAGATAACGTGACCAGGAATTCGGGAGCAGCTGTAATGAACAGCTCCCATCAGCAAGCCCCTCCCCAGAAGTCTCTCAGAGTTCTCAGAAAATTCTTATATTAGCTTTTACTTTTCTATGTAAAGATCTTACTAATCAATCTTAGATTTGAAGTAAAAGCCTATATCTTCAGTGTGGAGCTACTGTAGTTTACAGGTCTCTTTCCTTTCCTTTCCTTTTCCTTTTTTCTTAGGAATTTTTGTATTGTCTAAACATTGGAGAAATACATTATTTAATATGTATAGTATACATTTCAACATCAGCTTGTACCAAATTTATTTATTTAAATTTTGTAGCTGCATAATGTCTTTTCTTGCTTTACAGGACTGATGCTTTGCTTGTGAAGTTGTCCCTTGTAATTGGAAAAGAAGTGTTTTATTCTGCCTTGTGGGCCAGTGTCTTGGTTAGCCCTTCTGTAAGACTACCTGCTTCCCTTTTTGTTGTCAATCATATCAACAGAGCAATACCTGGAAAGCAGCAGAATTATATAATGGGGACTGATCCTAATCTCACAGTAGGTTAAATAATAAATAATCTTTGTTTTTATAAGATAAATAATGACGAAAAATGGAAAATTGCAGATAAAATCATCATTTTCTTAGCTAACTGTTAATTGGCAGTACCTGTGTAACATACCAAGGTCGCTGTTATGAGATAGATGACTCTATAAGTCATATAAATAAATAATTGAATCCCTATGAAATGTGAATTAGGATAATATATTCTGGTAAAAATGCTTCCTCCTTTAACTGCTTTGAAAACTAATGCAAGTGGAGGCAAATTTTCCATTTTCTGTCATTGCATGGTAAATACATATTCATTAAAATTAAAGTTTATTACTCAAGTTAAAAATTTTATGTTCTGTCTATAATCATCATGCTAATTAGTTCTGCATTCTATGGAGGTTTGTGTAAAATTTAAATATTAATTCAGTGTTCAAGGATGTGTAAGTCTTTGTGTAATTATTTATGCAACATGGAGATGGAGAATACATTTATATGCCCACCATAATATTCCCTTTCTGTAAGCAACTTTATGGGCAGCACAGAAAAGGAATAGTAGATAATAAGCCAAAGAAGTGCAGAAGAGGAAAAAGAGAAAAATTAATTGTATTTAGTTTATATCGGCCTCATTCACTACATTTCTGAATATCCTTGTATCCTTGTGGCTACCACATCCATATAAGATATTTTTATTGATTTCTCACTTCCACACAAGGACAACTTTCTTTGTCTGTCACTTCATTTATTTGTCTTGTGATTTGATTCTCATAGTTTTCTTCATATAACCAAATCAGTGCAGCATTCTTTGATAATGAGCACAATTCTATATTCAATCCATATTATTTCAGCATCCCTTCCTTTCTGACTCTAAATAAGATGCCCATGTGGTTAAAAACAAGAAGAAATAGCCATTCCTATTACAACACACTATATTTCTTCTACCATATTGATGTATTATTTCCATGTAATAGAATGGAGGACGTATACACAACGATTTTAAGTTCACTCATTCTAATTTAATTATTCATTACATGCAATAAATGACATACTGCTGTCATATTTCTGCCAGCTTTTGAAACCTTAAAATTCCTCCATCTGTTTTGACATATTTAGTAAATGTTAACAAAGAACACAAATTTATCTGGTTGGTCTTGATTTTCACCATTTAAGTGCCATTTGCAATTATTCAGTTCATTTTGTGTGACAAACATTAGTTTTGACATGTTAATTATACATTTCATATACTTTGTTGCATCATACAGTTTGTATAACATTTAAGTAAATCAGGTTCTCAGCAAGGAACTTGATAATATTGCATATAGAAGCATTCATACATTGATATATTCTGATAATTTCACCTTAATGCCACCAGATACATTCTTTATACATTTGCCAATAAGTGCATTAAACAAGCAAGGACCATAATGCATTCTTACCTTACTCCCTGACCAGTGTTAAATCATTCGCCAGTATGAGTGTTTTGCTTCCATTATAATCCAGTCTTTCTTATACATTTGGCAATCAACCTTCATTCCATATTCATGGAAACTTCCCATAATTCAAGTTTATTCACTTCATAATATACTTTCTTCAACATCAACAAACACATAGCTACATGTCTTTCTCATATTCACATATTTTTCAACTACCATATTTTTCGGAGTATAAGATGCACCTTTTTTCCTCAAAAAGAGGCTGAAGATCTGGGTGCATCTTATACACCAAATATAGCATTTTTGCCTCCCGAAGCCCCCCCTTTCACCAAAATGGCTGTGCGTACCCATATGGAGGCTTTCAGAGAGCTCCTGGGGGCTGGGTAGGGCAGAAGTGAGCAAAAAACGGACCTTTTTGCCCCCCCCCCAACCCCTAACAGCACTCTAAGCCTCCATAAGGCTATGCATGCAAAAATTTTGACAAAAAATGAGCCCATTTTTGCAAAAAATGGGCCATTTTTTGCTCATTTTGGGGGGCCCACCCCTCCAGGAGCACTCTGCAAGCCCCCCCCCCCCCAAGGCTATTCATGCCCTTTTCGGGGGGGGAAATGGGCCCGTTTTTGTGAAAAATGGGCCATTTTGGGGAGGTTTGCAGAGTGCAAAAACTTTTTTTCCTTTTGGAAAGCTCTTTAACTGATTGATGAGAATTACATTAATCAAGTGCTGTGCCAGCAGAAACACCTATCTACTGTATTTCTCTCTCGCTCTATTTCTCTCTCTCTACCCCTCTACCTACCTACCTATACACACACTCTCTCTCCCTACCTAGCTACTGTATTTCTCTTCCCCCCCTCTCTATTTCTCTCTCTATCCCTTTATCTACCTACCTAACTACTCTCTCTCTCCCTACCTATCTACTGTATTTCTCTATCTTTCTATTTCTCTCTCTCTCTATCCCTCTACCTACCTACCTACCTACACACTCTCTCTCTATCCCTTTATCTACCTACCTACCTAACTATTCTCTCGTTCCCTACCTACCTCTCTCTTTCTCTCCCTCTCTATCCCTCTATCTACCTACCTACTTTTTTATTTGCCTCTTCAAAACTTTGGTGTGTCTTATACTCCAAAAAATATGGCATTTCTTGCAATTGACTTTACCTTGAATTGTGGTCGTTGCTTCAGTTTATGTCCTAACTAATGTCTCTTAGAAATGTGTCAAACATAAATTTAGAAACTTTGATTGAAGCATTTAATCATGGCCTTTTCTAGTACAGGGCCTTCCACATATCCTTTGGGCTGCAATTGGTACAAAATGCTTCAGTCCAGTAATTTACAGATATTGCCTGCAAAAAACTCTTCACTGATTGCTAATAGATTTCTATCAAGTGTAAATCAAATTGCTACAGGTTTTGACCTATAAAATCAGATATGGTTTGCATCAATATTGTATCGTCAGGACCGCAACCTCTACTTTTAATCAATCTCTCAGTACAATTATCCCAAAGTGATAATTGATAACCCCTCTTCAGAGTTCTGGGTTATTAGGAAATGGAAATAGTCCGATATAGAAAATGATGCAGTCTTATCCTTTTTATGATTAGGAGATTGTTTGACTTTTGAAAGTATTATTTATAAAATTGTTCAAAATGATTTATTAATGTAATTATTGTATGAGATAATTTATTTAGATGTTACTAATTTTGATAGTTGTGGATGTAGAATGTTAATAGCATCGTTTTCATAGTTTTACCTGCTAGGATGTTTAATTGTATTGTAAGCTTTATATGTTGTTATAAACTATCATGAGCCAGATTGGAATTGGCAGCAAGCAAATAAGATAAACAAATACATCATTGTGAGCAAATACGTTAAGTGTGTTAAGTTTTGATTGTTAACAAATTTGACTTCCCCTCTTATTGTGAGCCAGCTCTTTAAAAAAAGTTGCTAACATATCATTTTGTCCTTATTGTTAAATAATTTAATATGATTCTAAGGTATTGTTGCATTATTCCTTTTCAATGGACATATTCCTCAAATAATTTGGAGAAGGGAATCCACACAAAAAAATCCCTGCATCATCATATTCTTGAATTAGCTGAGGAATGTAAGCCAATCCATTTTCTGATTACGATGTGGAAAGAGATTGAAAATTGAGAACTTCTGGATTTAAAAAATAAATTTCTACCACACTTTTGTTGTATGAAGTTCAATCTATAGAGCAAAAGAAAATGATCAGTCTATTGGGGGTTATTATATCAAATGTTATTTCACTTTTTTTCTAGATACAAGCTATTTGTGTGTCAATGCTGGATTCAAATGTTCTTGTACAAAGAAACACTTTGGAAGTAGTTCTCTTCTTTTTCCCATTATATTCTTCTTTGGTAAGCAAATTATTTTTAATTCAATTATTTTTGGCCTTGAGGTGCTTTTCAAAAGGCAACTGGACTTTCTTGATTTTTTCTTTGAAAATGTTTTGCTTCTGTAAATATGCACTCTGATTCAGGTGACCTTGAGGATACAGATAAATCTCCAAGTGGCATCAATGACTCAGAATGCCAGTGATGACCTTCGGAGTGTTAATGAGCAGATGACTGCAAAGAATATAAATTCTTCTATTCCTCACCATTCAGTCAGAACTGAAGAAGCTTCTTGGATGAGAAGTGAAATGTTTTCAAGGAAAAAAAAACAAGAAAGTTCAGTTGCCTTTTGAAAAGCACATTTGGGACATCCATGACCTAGATGATTGAATATTTATCTCCATACATATTTGCCTTTGTTTACAAAATGTTATGGAAGATTCCTGGTAAGGTTACTCCTATGTGTATTTGTATTCAATAACTAGTTTTTTACTATTTAAGACAAATCAAGGTATCAAGAACATATGTTTGTAGAGACTTCACTGTATCAAATCATCAGGTTCTGGGAGTATCTACTTGAGATAGTCTTGATTCATTGTTATTTCCAAATCAACAATGAGGATAGCATTTCTCCAAAGCCCAATTGAGAGAAATAATAGTGGGGGAGAGGAACCTACTAACTGCCTAACTATTGTGAAAAACGATGGATTAAAATGAACCTTGGCCCAATCTAACAAGGTAGCTTTTATTCTAATGAATTATTTTGTTTGGTTCTCATTTCCCAACCCACCATCCCCACAGAAAATGAAAAATGAATTTTAAAAAACATTCTTTTTAATACATATCTTATTGTTTTAATGCATTTATTTAACAACTTTTATTTTGTATTTCTAAACTATTTCAAGGTGTAGTTTCATGGGAAGCAATATGGCAATATATTGGAAAAAATCAATAGTAATATATTTGGGGAGAAATCAATAGCTTAATAGGGGCAGGTACAAAACAATAGCAACCTACCACTGTCTAATACAACCCTCAGACATTTCTTTACAAATTGTGAATGATGTACAGTATAGGAGTATGAATTGTGTGAATGATAATATTCTTAATGTTGCTGATGTTTTATTACCATATTGTGTGGTTTCCTTCTCCATTTTCTGCTGTACTTTAGTTTTCATTAAAAGACATGTACTTTCAGCTGACTTGTTGATTCTTTGTTTAGGACCCAAATGAGAGTGCTATTCCACTGCATAGGTCTGATTTGGTTCATCTTCTGTCAGCAGCTGCACAGACTCTCTTAAGAAGAGATATGTCACTAAACAGAAGGCTATATTCATGGTTGCTAGGTATGGTATCACATATAGTTGTCATTGTTTTTGCATTCTTTAATTATTCTGAATTATTTTTAAGAATAAGGTAGGGGTTGAGATATTAAATATCAAAGAGTGGTACACTAATCTAATTTATATGCTTACCAAGAAATATCTGTTATTCTTTGTCCTCAAAATACTTCAGTAGAAGGGAAGTATCATGTGCATATCAAATGCAACAGAGCTATGCTGAAGATAACTGATGCAGTCCTAATAGCAAGAAATAGCGGTGGAGTAATAGGAAAAGAAATGTTCATCTTTTGCTGTGATTTCTTGTTTTATTAATTAAAACTATAATGCTATATTGTACTTTTTGTCTTGTTACAATTATCTTTTTTAAGGCTCTGATATCAAAGGGAAAGCTTCTGTACCAGCGTTATCCATTAATGCATCCTTAGAAGATTATGCCCACAGTTTTTTTGAAAAATACTCCAAAGAACTTTTAGTTGAGGTAGGTCCATATTATACTCTTTAAAGGATGACTTCATTAAGTGGTGACAGTCGAATGTTAGATTAATAAATTGTTGCTGCTACTGTTTCTGGCTACTATTTTATAATACCAGCTTTCAGAATCTTACATGGAAAAGTGAAAATTCAAACACTTGGCAACTGACTCATATTTATGATAGTTGAAGCATCCCTGGATCATGTGATTATCTTTTGTGACCTGACAAGAAAGTCAATGGGGAAACCACTTAACAGTCATGTTACTAACTTAACAACTACAGTGATTCACTTAACAACTATGGCACGAAAGGTTGTAAAATGGGACAAAAATAACTTAACAAATGTCTCACTTAGCAATTGAAAGGTTGAGCTTAATTGTGATTGTAAGTTGAAGATACCTGTACAGTGGAATAGTCTTTGAAAAAGCAAGACGAAAAAGAAAGCAATGAGAAATCTGGAAAGGAGAAGTAAAAGTATCTTCAATTGATTTTCTGATATGGGCTGAATTAACTGCAATTGTCCTTTCTTCTTCCTATTTCAATTCAGTTCAAATGCAGTGTTTTTCCCTTGCCTACAGGAGTGTTACACTATTCATTTAGTCATGTGACATTTCAAGAATAGCATTGAATTTTTCAAACCAATTTATGGGATTTTTAATAAGAAATAATTACTAATAAAAAAATTAGCTAAAATTATTTAAAAAGCTGAGAACAACTAATTTGCATGGTTGTCAATTTTTTTCTTGATTAATAGGGTTTAATTGAAATACTACATCAGAAATTTTCAGAATCTGACTTAGAAGAACAGCACCATGCATATTTGAAGCCATTCCGCATTCTCATAAGCCTACTTGACAAGCCTGAAATAGGTAAGGAAAAGAGAGACTTTTCTTCAAGAACTAAATGTGCTAAGTCACACTATTGACAAACACAGGTTTCTTCTGACATAGATGCTGGTCAATCATTTTAAATTAACGTTATCTAAATACAACTTCGATGTTCTTCAATATTTCTTAAATTCATTATTAATTTGAATACATTATGAAAAGAGTACTTATACATCTCTTCATGGCTTGTTTTCTGATATTCCTATCTTCATTCAGAGACAACATATTGTATCATACTTAATTACTGCTAGGTATCTGTCACTGTTTGAGAAAATGGTCTAGGCCAGGGGTTCCCAACCCCTAGGTCATGGCCCACTACCAGGCGGCGCAAGCAATAAGCAAGCGTTTGTGTGTGTGCAGCTCCACTTGCTCAAGTAGTGGGTGCTCACACACAAAACTCCATTTGCATGAGTCAGGCACTCACACACAAATGGTGTTGCATACATGTGCCTGACGCTCACACAGAATCATCCCTCTTCCTCCTGCTGCCGGTCCACTAAGCCAGGAAGGTTTAGGCCTAAGATCTTTCTAAGAGCCAAGGTGGCGCAGTGGTTAAATGCAGCACTGCAGGCTACTGCTAGATCAGCAGTTCAGCGGTTCAAATCCCACCGGCTCAGGGTTGACTCAGCCTTCCATCCTTCCGAGGTGGGTAAAATGAGGACCCAGATTGTTGGGGGCAATATGCTGACTCTCTGTAAACCGCTAAGAGAGGGCTGAAAGCCCTATGAAGCGGTATATAAGTCTACTGCTAAGTCTACTGCTATTGCTATAA